CCCTGCTGTGATTTATTTTCTACATTTTAGGCCTTCAGCAAGCTTTTTGTCACAGTTGCAAAAAAAACTCATATCATATCATACCAAATTATCAACTTCCCTGAAGCTAAGACAAATGGCTTTGTTTTTAGCTTGACCATGATGCATTTCTTGATATTTCCAGTGAGAATGGTGGTTATTACTCTGCTTGCATGAGATTCATAAAAGAAAAACGATTAGAAATCCCTATATGGAACATGAAATATACCACATGAATGGTGTTTTCATTGATTTATGTTGTCATTAATTTGAAGTTACAAATGAAATATTATCAACTGTGGAGCTTCATTTGTGGGTCACTGACATGAAAACATTTGAACAGCCCCGTTGCTGATAATCTTAAGCGTCTTCCACTGCTAGCTCTCCTCCTTTAGTGCCCCGCCCCTCCCCCTCTGCCTTGTTTGTTTTCAGTGTCACAAAAACCTTATTGCTTTTTTCTGTAGCTAAATGCAATAGATGCATAATACATATAGTAAACAAGTAAAAGTAGGGCTGAGATGTACAAATAGGTCTCCTTGCATAAAGGAGTATAAGATTTATAAGATAAGATTTATTTTGATTTACTGTCCTGTGTGTGTTGTGCTTTTACTATTAGATTTTACTAATTTCTTGTGTAAAGCATTTTTATCATCTTAAAAAGCACTATAAATAAAATGTCTCATTATTATTATTATTATTGTTATTATTATTATTATATTTGTTAAGTTTATGGTTACTTTTCCAATGTGCAAGGAGACAAGCCATATACTGTCACTCTTGACTTTATAATCATTTACAAGAAATAGGTGATTTTCCTTTATATCAAACATTATTTCTCAATATACATATATAAACACGTCTGTGCCAAGACATTTATAACACGTAGTTGCATCCTTCTTTTTGATACTTGTGTAAAATACAACCCCGATGTATAATCAATAAATGCTGATTCTATTTTGAAAATCTTTACCGGAAGTATTAATTCGTGCTGTTGTTGACTTGACAGTAGTCTCTCTCCCTCCACTCGCTTGAGTTCAGCATCTGTCTTCACCAGAGTCCACGGAGCGCGCAGTATGGATCCGTTACGCATTACGCACTATGGTGTCCTTTCTGGCACAGATGGTTTTCTGGCACGCGTTTCAGACAGTTGTAAAGACATCAGCTCTTAAAAGCAGGCTCCTTGGTCACCTGTAGTAACAAAAAACGTCCAAGTCTTTAATGCAGAGAAGGGAGATACAAGTGATTCGTGAAGACTTTTTTTTTCTACGCTCTGCTCCGACGCGCATTCACACACTGTTTTGGACTTATTTTCAGCAGGATATCATTTGTTGCATCTACATTTTTGGGTGTTTACTATATGTGGATACTTATTCGGGACCATGGGAGACTCCGTGTTCTTCGACAGGCAAAATTCCTATCTTGTAAGTACTCGGTTTATTGGCGATATCTCAATTATAATTAGTCGGACGTTTGCTGATGAGGTTCGAGATCTTATATTTGAGTTGTCTGAGAGAGCGTGCGCGCGTGCACATCTAATGTGTACGTGTGTGCTTGGGTGAAGAACAGAGAGAAACAGATGATTTCCTGCGTGAAGATGACTTTTAAGACAGTTTTGCATATAGAATTTCAAGCCTCTGTCGCCCTGCATAACAGATATTGCATGAAAGGTACCATTGCATAATATCTATTTTCTGTATTTTTAGTGAACAATCATCACAACCTCTTTCTAACTCTAATCTTCCACGAATTTTAAGAAATGCAAAAGAAAAATATGACTTTAACACATCAAAAGCCTGTAAAGATGAAAATGTGAAATTGAGCAGAGCAAAGGGGCCTCAACATGCAAAAACTTCCTGTGATGGAACGTTTTAAGTGACATGTGGTGTAGAGAGCACTTGCATATGCAGGCATAAAAGACCACACACATTTCCTGGTTTAAAGAGGAGACTTTTGCTCTGAAAACAGCTCAGTAAAGACACCTGAAGAAACCTGCAGTGGAGCGCTGTTAGAGAACGGAGGTGTTGTGTTGACACTCCACACTACAAACCTCAATGGCCAGATGGGGGCAAAACAAACAGATACAGGTCAAGGCCATGAGGACCAATGACGACATTGATGAGAACTGCACCTTCAAAATGAAAGCCTCAGCATTCTGGAGCTCAAATCTTTTTCAGGTTGCTTGCAGAACAGGTTAATTCAAATGTCGGTATCAAGTTTGTTTGTGCAGTGGACAAAGATTTAAACTTGCACACATGCTAGTATTTTATCATCCGCTCTTTCCATCTGTCCCCCCTTCTCCTCCTCTCTGGTGAGGAATCCTCTGCTGACTGCTCCAGCGGTCTGTCTCCTTTTTATGAGCAATGTTTCTGTGGCTGGAAGCCCTCATAAAGCCATGAGCATTGATTGGAAAACAATACAATTTTCTTTGGCTCGCTTGGCAGCACGTTGTGGTCTGGATTTGTGCTTTGTAGCGTGGCTATGTGGTGTGAAAGCCACATGGCCCACAGTAATGGTGTCTAAAATTCATCCAACACAGGCTGATGAGGTTTGGTCTCAAAATTGGTCTCCACAACAGCACATCTTTTTAGAGTAAATGAAATTGGATGTATCTGGGCTCTTATTTGTTTATTGAAATTCTGGCCTTCTTTTGTGAACCAAATAAATACATGTTAGAAATCATACTTATTTGGCATGGGTGAGCTGATCTGGACTTCTAGCAAAGGATCTGGACTCCTTTGCTGGATGTCTAGGTTAACCCTTATGGTCAGGTTGAAGAGCCTATTGTAGGAAGGTTGTGGTTCCTACTGGATGCCTCCCTGTGGAGGTATTCTAGTTAAGAACAATTGGGAGGATACTTAATCAATTAGTCAATCGATAGAAAATTTATTATTTTGGTAATCGATATACTCTTTAAAGTAATTTATTTTAACAAATGATGCCAGAAATTCCTTACTTTAAGTCTGTTAACCGTGAATAATTGCTTGTTTTATTAGTTTTATATTATGTTTTTGGTGTTTTGGACTGTTGGTCAGATAGACACCAGGAATCTGAAGACTCCTCTTTTAGTTTGGGAAAATGTGATGGACATTTTTTGCTATTTTCTGGCATTTTATTACACTAAACAATTAATTGAGAAGATAATCAGTAGATCAGCTGACAATTAGCGCTTTTCCATTACCAGTACCAGTTAAACTCTCCTAGACTTGACTCTACTCAATTCGGTTTGGCTCTGCTCCGTTTTCCATTGCAGATAGTACCCAGAGATAGTATACCTCAGTGTAGCTGGTCATCATAGCGACGCCACACACAACCCGCTGCGATGTTCAATGCGACACACACACCAGCAATCCACATACAGCTTTCTCTTTCTCTAAGTTAAAAAATTTCAACCTTACTCAGAATGTAAAGACAGATAAGCGGTATGAAAACCTTACAGCTGTGTTTTCCTTGTTTGTTTGTTTCGTTGTTGCTGCAGCGGTCTGTGTGATGGTGGGAGCAGAGGGCTCTGTGAGCGGGCGGCTGGCCGGCCTCGGGAGCTCCTCCCGCGGGTTGGCGCTGGCTTCCCCCGCCGCCACTTGCGGAGCTCCTCAACTCCGAAAAGCACATTTTTGTTCCACCATCACTTTTCGTAAGACTGTTCATATTCGAAATCTACACAGTTGATTTATCACCTCAAAACTTCTCAGAAGTGGATTTAGTGATGAAATTACATACAAAAACTGTAAAATATAAAACTTTCTGTTGCTGGCCTCTGTCTGGCGCGTGCAATGATGATGCAGTGAATAGTGACGATTCTCTCTGACCAGTCATTTAGCAGGTGCTTTTGTCCAAAGTTACTTATGTCAGAAGAAAGTGAAAAAGCTAAAGATCGCTGTCAGTAGAGTAAGGATGTCAATAGGAAGGTTTGATCATTGAGGCAGGTAGTCTAGCGAGTGGCAGTAGTCAATGAGGGTGATTAGTATTTAGACCAAGAGCTGTACTGATTCCCTGGTGAGGAAGGACCAGATTCTGCAGATGTTGTGAAAGCAATTCTGTAGATTGGACCTCTGCAGTGATGTTAGCAGTGCAGCACAGTTGATGGTCTAGTACTACGCTAAGGTTCTATAGTAAACCTCAACAGTGACAAGTAAACCCAAGTGAGGGCAGTCTTTCCCAGGCACGAGGAGGAGTCTTGTCAAGGTTAACTTTCAGGTGATGCGCAGTCATCCAAGTGCTGATGATGGTCAGACATTTTGAGATGCGTGTTGCAATCAGGGTGTTATCTGAGGTGGGGAAAGAGAGGAATTGTTGAGTGTCCTCCACATAATAGTGATAGGAGAAGCTGTGTGATTACAGAGCCTAGAGATCTAGTATATAGGGAGAACATGAGTGGTCTTAGTACTGAGCCTTGGGGGACATGTGTGTCAAGAGAGCAGGGTTTGGACTAAGAGCCATTCCATCTGACCTAATAGGTGCGATTCTTCAGGTAGGATGTGACCCAGGATAGTGCAGAGTCTGCGATTCCAGGTTCAGCAAGAGTGTGAGATCTGGTGGTTCACGGTGTTGAATGCAGCAGACAGGTCAAGGGGAAAGAGAACAGATGAGAGAGACGAGGTTCTGGCAGTACTGAGGGACTCTATCACCGCGAGCAGGGCTGTCTCAGTGGAGTGTGTGTGGAGTTTTGAAGCCTGACTGATGAGGGTCAACAATTTTTTTTTGTGAGAAATAGTAGGACAGTTTGTAAGAGGTGGTGCATTCCAGGGTTTTAGAAAGGATTTAAAGAAGAGATACTGGGCTGTAGTTTCGGATGTCAGCAGTGTCAAGGGTAGGTTTCTTAAGGATATTCAGTTTAAATCTAAAGACTAAGAAAACCAGCAAATATTCACATGAAAACCAGTGAATCTTAGGTATTTTTGCTTGAAAAATGACGGAAAGGGGTAGTGATGGAGCAGTGGATAAGACACTTGCCTTTGGTGTGAGAGACTTACGTTCGAATCCACTGTGAGACACCAATGTGTCCCTGAGCACCAATGTGTCCCTGAGCAAGACAATAACCCCTAGTTGATCCCCTAGAGGCGTGCAACCTCTGAAATAAATAGTAACTGTAAGTCACTTTGGCTAAAAGCGTCAGCTAAATGAATAAAAGTCACTTTGGCTAAAAGCGTCAGCTAAATGAATAAAAGTCACTTTGGCTAAAAGCGTCAGCTAAATGAATAAATGGAAATGGAAACGATTCATCAGTGATCTAAATAGTTGCTTATTTTCTGAATCGATGAATCGACTTGTCGTTTCAGCTCGAAATCAATTATCTGAGTTAGTGGCATGGCTAATCAGTATTCGGTGTTATGGCAGGATTAAACAGCTCAGGATGATTTAAAAAAATGGTTAAGCTTTAAATCATAAATCTTGAATGGCAACCTATTATAGGGCTTAAAAGGAGAATATGTAAGATCTGTTTTGAACATTTGAGCCAATATGTCAATTGACTGTAACTCGAGAGCGTGGGTGATGGCTAATGCCATTTTTAGTTATTGAGGGACCTGTATGCTTTTTTTTCATTTTGAATATATTTTCCTTTTTGGCCTTGAGACAGTGTTACAGTCCTCTTTCCCAGCCTAGCCTGTGCATGAGGACACACTATGGGTATGTGGGTGTCCAGACGGCATATGATGACGTCTGCAGACTTTCTGTTGATGCTCTACATTTCATGAGGAAGCTGTAAAAATCTAGTAATCCAGCAAAGTAAGTATGGAGTGCACACTTTGACTTTGCCAAACTGTAAAAATAACTATAGTTTGCATTGGAAAATGTCTCTAAACACTTGAGGACAGTAATCTATTTGTGGAGGCTTTAAAAGGTAAGAAATTCATTTAGACAGACACAGTTATTGATTGTAAATATATTAAACCTTTCTTCAGGAAACCTTAAACCACCACTTTATTACAAAAAGCAGTAGGTAAAAGCATGGGAGTTATGTCCTGACAGTGCATCGCAATCAAATAGGTGTGGACTTTCAGCCAGGCTGCTCATTGCCGTCTCATAAAACACTTAGTTGAACTTGGTACAAGAATGGAGTTTATATATATATATATATACACACACACACACACACACACACATATATATATATATATATATATATATAGATAATATGATAAAGAAGCAGTTCCAAAGAAAAATGCATTTGTGTTAATGAAGGATTATGCCCCTTCAAGCTGGTTTTGACAAAAAATACAGGCTTTTGTCATTCCTGCCAAGGCAGATAAATATTTCAGATTTTAGGTTACCAGACTAGAGACACAGGGATGGAAGAAGACAGAGAGCTAGAGCCAGGTAGCAAGAGCGAGAGAAATGTGTAACAGCACCTCACGTTTGCCGGTGCGTAAACGTTTAATCCCCCCTTGAGGCAGCTGTGCATTTATTCCACTTGTAGTGACGCGTG